ACCATTTTCAGTGTAACTGAGAGGTTTGCTGTGAAATGCTCCTTGCTATCTGCCAGTGTAAAAGAAAGGAAGGAAGAAGGCCTGGCATTACACAGCCAAACTGAGGGGAGGCTAGGCTAACCATTCCAAAAATTATATACATAAAATTGCCTTCTCTGCTTGGTTCTTTCCATGTCTTTAAGTGATACTGTATACTGTATCATAGCTGTAGATGTTGACCCATCATACATGAAAACAAAGCAGATGATGTCAGAGCTAAAGCTATTATTGTAACACCTAATGTGAGCGTTTATGCCTAGATTTATTTTCTAAATTAATTGGCAGGCTTACTTCATGGAAGAAGAGATAAAAGTAGACTCATAACTATCTATCAGCTATTTATGCAAGAAAACTGTAGGACTCTGGAAGAGGAAATACAGAAAAGGCAATCTGATAAACTCCCATCCATTCAGATCTTCTCTCCACTTGGAGCATAAGACCGAGCTAACCTGTTAAGTTATTTATCTCATGCACAAAAGTCAGCTATCACATAGAAATACAGGTTCACTCACACTTCTGTTCAGATTAGTGCCTATCCTTCAAGGATAACCTAACCTCTTCACGGTTTCATGATCACTTCTGTTTTGGTTTTTTTTTTTTAATAATTCTTTAATCTTCCTTTTCTTGTTTACTTCTGGCTCTCTCCAAAGGTTCCCCTTTCTCTGTTGATTTACACATCAGCCATATCTAGAGCCTCATGATTCTCTTATTTAAGTCTACTACATGTATTCCCCGCCCCCCAGCAGCTATTCACTACTGAAATCTTCTCCTGCTTCAGCTCTAGCACTTTTACCCAATCCACTAGAAACTTAGTCTTTTAGCATAGTTACAGGTCTGAACCGTTTTGGAGGTAATACGAGATCCCATATCTGATTTGCAGTTCTGTAGGAAGCAAGTGAAAAGTACATTTGGGATGCAACCTGTGTAAGTACAGGACACACCACACCGCTGAGTTTTGCAGGGTGTTGCTGCATCCATCTAAGTGCTGATGAAATATGTGATGAATTGAGGCCAGGTCATCACCCACCAGAAAATGGCAAAGATGACAGAAAGTACTTCTCATGGATGCTGCAACGTGGGGATTCAGCAGCATCATTGAACTCTAGACCCTCTTCTAGCTGTGGTTCAAATTGGTTGTCTTTGCACATTTACCTTGGCTATTCAGAGCTTTTTTTTTTATACAGTTTTTATTGTCCACCTCATTAGAGCTCAATATATATTCTATCTCAGAATGATGGCACCATCTTAAAAATATGTTTTGGGTTTTTTATGCATATTGTCATCTTATGTTCCTGGTGGATTCAAGTTACAGGAGGTAATAGCAATGCCAACAGCAAATGTTAGCTAAACATTGGTAACCTCTATGAGGACTGGAGTGTAAGACAATCACTGGCTACTATCCAAGGCAAATCAGTTTTTAAGTTAGAACTTCTGGATGATGAAGAAATAATGGATTAAGCAGAAAGAGATTTGGATAGTATGGCCTAGCAGGCCAATGAAGAGAGGCAGCTGAAAGCTTTAAAAGGAAGTATCTCTCAGTAGCTATTTTAGACTTTCCCTCATCTCTTCCTGTTTTAGTATCAAAGCTACGACGTCAAGGGGAACGCAAAGATCCTGTCCCAATTCCAGTAAATACCTCAGAAACAGGGAAAAAATAAAGTAGGAAACAGCAATGATTTTTTTTCTCCAGTTCAGGCATGCCAATTAAAGTGAAGAGTGATTATTTTAAAAATCTCTCCCAGTCTTACACATTTATCTGTTTTCAGACATCCCTGGATAAATAAAGCTTAATTCTCAGAAATAACACTTTGTCCATGAGAGGAAACAGTACTAGTTACAGAATTAAAAAGTACTGAGGCCAAAGATTTCCGACCTTAGGAAGGGATCTGTACTCCCAGAGCAAACCTAGCAGAGAACAGATATGGGTCCTAGAGTGAATTTACATATCAGGAAACTTAAACGTACACAAACTTGCTAAGGTGAAACAGCCTGAGTAAGCACGCAACTAGAAAGCCTTGCCTCCAATGCACCTTCCCAACTACCAGACACTGTAACATAGCTAGAAACATTTCACAATATCTCCCTCAGCTTAACAGCATAAGGACTTGCTCCTTTAGGTTCAGCTTAATCACCTGCTCTTCATTTGTGAGCTGCTATTGTCCAGGCACTGAAGTGTCTTGATGGTAATACTGCAAACCTGTGTTATCCAGGAAAGCGGCACCACTTTATCACTGCAAACCACTCAGACCTGACTCTATATTATCTGCCTAATTTTCGTAGTGGTTGGAAATAGGATTAGAGAAATAATTGCTCAGTTGACTCTTATGGTGAGAAGCATGTGCTTTATAGCAGTTCATTTATCTAGTGTGTCCTGTGAAGATAATTTTACTGAACTGTGGGCTTACAGCCTGGCACTGTTGTGGGTTTCAGTAGAAATAAAGTTTCTGTTATGGTGTGAAGTTATAAGAAAGACAAATTCATGCTTTAACTGTAATTGAGAAGAGGATTTTCTTTTAAAACCTAGATGTTTGTGGAAGCTGATAAGGACTTTGCAGGGAAAGCTGAGTCTGAGTGCTTGATAATGTGTCCTTTTAAAATAAATCCACCAGGTAAGTCTCCTTAAGTTTTGGAACTTTTCCACCTTGTCTGATTTCCTGGTACTTGTTAGTACAGGTTTTGCCCTGTGAGTATGCCTTTGACTAGCTGTGACATGGCACCTTTCCTTTCAAATGAACCTTATTTTGAAACTTCTTGTATTTTAAATCCATGTAGACTTCCTTCTTAAAGGGCTTTGGGGCCCAATTCTCTCCTTACTTTCTCTGCTTACTTCAGTGCACTTGCTTTCACAGAAAAGATTAATGTTGGGTCTTGAGCGTCCAGAAAGTATCCCCATTTAATAACAAAAAACATAGTTTATTCAGAAATGCTGAGTCACTCTCAATTCCGAGTTTGGATTGGGAAGAGAATGGGGAAATGCATTTTTAGAACTGCATCACAGAGCACGAGTGGCAATCCAAATAAAGGAAATTACTGTCTCTTCATACATATGTATATGTAACCTGTGTGAGATTTCAGTTCTTCTATCAAGAGACAGAGAAAACCCTTTGCCTTTCCCGGCTCTCTTTTGCAGTCTCAGCACTACTTTTAAACAAGTACCTCTCTGTTCCAACCTAGAGATGGGGCACAAAGTGCAACATCTGAATCTAATCCCTTTCCAGGAATGAAATCAGCTACCATTTGGATGGACTGGAAGCGTTCAGCAGCATAGTCTCCCTCTTTGACATGACCAGGCTATCTATACAGTGTTAAAGATAAGGCTGTAATAGCTCTCTGGTAAAAATAACCCTTTCTTCTTGTTCCAGTCAATAGCTGGCTTATGATTTGACCCTATTTCTTTTGAATCCATTTTTGCTCTAGATTTCAGTTCCTTGCTTCAATACAAGAAGCAATAGTCATATCATTTCATTTATTTACAGGTGGTTTTTTTAATCCTTCTTATAAATTATGACTTTTGTTACTCTCATTCAACTCTGAGATAAGTAGTAAAGTTCCACCTCATGTGGCCTTAGCATAACAAAATGCCCCACAGGCGCTTTTCAGGTGTGCTGCTGACTTTCTGGGCTAAGACACATCAGGTAAACCATGCTGGCTGCTGATTTGAGATGCTCTTCACCCTTACCAAACCAGATATTTAAGACTGGGCATAAAGATATCTGAACTTAAATGTTTCACGTAATACTTGTGCCAATTAAATGTGGCACTAACTGACTTTCTTTAGCCTTGGTTAGATATATCTGGGAGACTTGGTTACTGTACTACAAACTTGGATTTCAGTATTAAGAAAAGCAGCATATTATTGATAGTTGGCACTATTTAACAGAAGCTAACTGACCCGGGAGTCTGCTCTGCCAGAAGCTATATAAATGCACAGGAAAAATGGTGCTGTGTAGCCTGTACTCTCTGCTCAGTGCTGTTTTCAGAAGTCAAGTGGTAGTCAATCAGTAAACCTCCTTTTACAAAGTGCCCGTGAAAGCCAGCCAACAGCCAGGTACTATGTAAGTGGGTTTAAACTCACTCTATGCATAGTCTCGCTTCCCTTCAGAATTTTTTTAGGGGCCAACCAACAAGAAAAGGCTGGCAGCCGCCAGGTCGGGCCCGACACCGCAGCAGCGTTGAGAACGTCGCTGTGGGCCAAGCAACACGGACAACGGCAGGGTGACTCTCGAGGGGGTGGTTAACTCCCCCGGGATGAAACGGCTCGCGTATTCACGCGGCTTCCTCCCGGCGGGAGGGCCTGTCCCTGAGGGAGGGATTTCGTCGCCAGCGAGTGGGTGGCAGGCAGGCAGGCAGGCGCTTCCTTGGCTCCGCTCTGCCCTACTCGCTTCACCGCTGCCTCTCCTCGCCCGCCCGGGGTGGGCTTCTCCTCAGCCGTGAGGTGGCGGACGGCCGTTGCCGCGCGCGGGGCTGAGGGGGGCCCCGCCAGCTGGCGGCCGGTGGTGCTCGGAGCGGCACGGGCGCCCCTCCTCCCGCCCCCCAACGGCGGCTCGCGCCC